GGCGGTGCGGTAGCGCTTATGGCGCTGGCGACATTGCGACGAAGGACGTGTCCTTCACGGGCTGCGAGGCCACCGAGGTGCGCCGCTCCTCTCTCCCACGCACCGCTCGGCCCCGCACGCCCTCGCCACATTGGAATGCTGTGGATGCCCCCCCTCTCGCCTGACGCCCTCCCCGCTCATGCCTGCCCGCCCCAACTCGCGCAGCGCGGAGGAGGTATGTCCGTGTACAACAGCGGCGACGTCGCGCTGGAAAGCGCCAGCTTCAGCAAGTGCACGGCTGACTCTGTGCGTCTCCCAAGCCCGCACACGCTCGCCTCCCCCGCACACGCACGCTCGCACGCCATCGCCGCGGGAGAAGAAGGCAGAGGGAGATGGGGTGGCAAACGGGGCACGCTTCCCCCAAAAGGGCCGCTCTGGGCCCTGCCCGCCCTCTCTCGCTCTCTCGCCCTCCCCGCTTACGCCTTCCCGCCCCAACTTGCGCAGGACGGAGGAGGTATGTTCGTGGACAACAGCGGCGACGTCTCGCTGGACGGCGCCAGCTTCAGCGAGTGCACGGCTGATGTGCGTCTCCCACGCCCGCACACGCTCGCCTCCCCCGCACACGCACGCTCGCACGCCATTACGCCGCGGGAGAAGAAGGCAGAGGGAGATGGGGTGGCAAAGGGGGACACGCTATCCCCAAAAGGGCCGCTCTGGGCCCTGCCCGCCCTCTCTCGCTCTCTGACGCCCTCCCCGCTTACGCCTTCCCGCCCCAACTCGCGCAGCACGGAGGAGGTATGTACGTGTGGGACAGCGGCGACGTCGCGCTGGAGGGCGCCAGCTTCAGCGAGTGCACGGCTGGCGATGTGCGTCTCAAACGCCCGCACACGCTCGCTCGCACGCCATTGCGGCGCCGGAAGCGAGAGAGGAAGGCAGAGGGACATGGTTCGGCAAACGGGGGACGCCTTCCCCAAAAGGGCTGCTCTGGGCCTTGCCCGCCCTCTCTCGCTCTCTCGCCCTCCCCGCTTACGCCTTCCCGCCCCAACTCGCGCAGTACGGAGGAGGTATGAGCGTGTGGAGCAGCGGCGTCGTCTCGCTGGACAGCGCCAGCTTCAGCGAGTGCACGGCTGGCGGGGTGCGTCTCCCACGCCCGCACACGCGCCCCCCCCGCACACGCACGCTCGCACGCCATCGCCGCGCCGGAAGCGGCAGAAGAAGGCAGAGGGACATGGTTCGGCAAACGAAGACGCCTTCCCCAAAAGGGCCGCTCTGGGCCCTGCCCGCCCTCTCTCGCTCTCTCGCCCTCCCCGCTTACGCCTTCCCGCCCCAACTCGCGCAGTACGGAGGAGGTATGAGCGTGGAGAACAGCGGCGACGTCGCGCTGGAGGGCGCCAGCTTCAGCGAGTGCGCGGGTGCCTATGTGCGTCTCCCACGCCCGCACACGCTCGCCTCCCCCGCACACGCACGCTCGCACGCCATCGCGGCGCCGGAAGCGGCAGAAGAAGGCAGAGGGACATGGTTCGGCAAACGGGGGACGCCTTCCCCAAAAGGGCCGCTCTGGGCTTGCCCGCCCTCTCTCGCTCTCTCGCCCTCCCCGCTTACGCCTTCCCGCCCCAACTCGCGCAGTACGGAGGACGGTATGCGCGTGTTCA